TTAAAAATGATCTTAATTTACTAGAACTAAATGAAAATATGACACTAAATAGGACGCAATGGAGAAAAAGGATTCATGTAGCCGACCCCACGTAGTGGGATTAAGGCTTTGTTGTTGTTGTTATGATTTTATTATTGCTAATAATTTATTTAAGAAAGCAGATGAACATATTATTACTTATAAGAATGGATCTCATAAAACACGAATTGATTATTTTTTATGAGAAAAGATCTTCAAGAACGTAAAGATTGTAAGGTCATTCCAAGTGAAATTTTAAGTACCCAATATTAGGGCTGTCAAAATGGCTCGTTCGGGAACAATTTGTGTTCGGCTCATTAAGTAGCTCGTGTTCAGCTCGCTCGTTAAGCAATCGAGACGAACATGGACAATTATTTTGAGCTCGGCTTTTAAATGAGCGGGACATGAACAAAGGTTTGTTCGTTCGTGTCCAATTAGTATGACCTCATGATATCCCTATTGAAGTGTGGAAATATCTAGGAGATTTTGGAGTTTCTTGGCTTACTAAACTTTTAAATATTATTTTAAAAACTATAAAGAAGCACGAAGAGTGGAGGAGAGTATTTTGGTCCCAATTTTGAAAAATAAAGGGGATGCACAAGAAATTGCAAATTATAGAGGAATTAAGCTAATCTGCCATACTTTAAAATTATGGGAGAGAATAATTAAAAATAGGTTAAGGCGTGATGCAAAGTCTTCCCATAATCAGTTTGGATTTGTCGGGCAAGTCTGCTATGGAAGCTATACATTTATTGAGAGGTTTGATGGAGAAGTGCAGAGAGAGTAAGGAGGATCTACATATGATTTTTATTGATTTAAAAAAAACTTATGATAAGGTTCTAAGAGAAGTTCTTTGGATTGTTCTAGAAAATAAAGGTGTCGATACGACTTATATTCAAGTTATTAAGGATATGTATACTAGAGTTGTCACCTGTGTTCGAACAGAGAATGAGGATTGACCAAGTATTTTCTGATTTCAGTTGGATAACATCAGAGATTTGCATTAAGCCCATATCTTTTTGCTTTAGATATGGATGCTCTTAATAGGCATACAGAAGGATGTACCTTGGTATATGTTTTTTGCTGACGATATCATTCTTGTGGATAAGACTATAGGGGTACAGAAAAAAACTGGAATTATGGAGGTCTACATTGGATCTAAAGGCCTTCATTTGAGTAGAACTAAAATTGATTACATGGAACAATTTTAGTAGTAGTAATTCTAGTGGCAGAGTTGTAACTATCAAGTAATCAAATCAAGTGTGAACATTTTAGATATCTCGGGTCTATTGTGCAAAGTGATGGTGATATATATGTTATTAGTAGAATTCAGGTTGGTTGGTTGAAGTGATGGAATGCATCAAGCCTATTTTGTGAAAGAAAAGTACCGCGTAGACTTGAAGGAAAATTTTATAAGATGGTGGTGTGACCTACAATACTTTGTAGGGCAGAAAGTTGGCCTGTAAAAGAAAAGCATAATACAAAATGTGAAACAAATCTATCCATGAAAGGGTGCGTGTAGCTCCATTTGCTGACAGAATTAGAGAGAGTTGTCTTAGATGATTTGGTTACATTAAACGTCGATCATCTAATGATCCAGTTGGAGAGTAGATGTTATAGATTCAATTAATGTTAAGAAAGGCAGAGGTAAACCTAAAAAGATGGGGATAATATATAAAAAAATGATCTTAATCTATTAGAATTCAATGAAAATACGATACTCAATCGGACCCATTGGAGAAAAAGGATTCATCTAGCCGTCCCCACTTAGAGGGGGTAAAGGCTTGTTGTTGTTGTTGTATAATTTTATTCACGTGATAAAAATGTAAGAAAAAAATTTATTAAAACTATTTATTGTCAGAAATCAACCCACTCAAAAACCGCTGAAAAGAAAGTAAAATAAATAAATAAATAAAATACTTTGCAACCTGCACAATCTCAATTTACTTAATTACATGCAAAATTAGTTGTACATGGGAAAATAAAATGTGAAAAATTAGATTTACAGAATTCCTACTGGATATGTACACTTTAAAAGCATAAATTATCTAAATGATAATTCCTAATGTCAACATTCGATTTTAATTGTTCACTATTCTAGTTGGGAATTAAAAACCAAAAAAGCAGAAAAGAAAGAATGAAGACCAGTACCTCCAATGTAATGAATGTCCATTTTGACTCCCTTAAAAGCTTCAGTGAGTATTCTGGCAGGTCCTTTTGGATATCGCCCAAGTCCAGAGGTTGTCCATCTACGTAAATTAGAAAGCATGGATTAATTGGGGCATTTACATACATACCACCCAATTCCTATGAATATGCATATACAACACCTAAATTTTACTGTTATATTTATAAACCCAAATCCATCAGATCAGATAGAAAATACCACTAATTTAATTTTTAAAAAAATGAAGTATACTTTTTTCTGTATAGGCAAGGTGGCATATATGTAAAAATTGAAGTCTGGGCAACACATGAATTAAAATGGTATGTATGTAAATCTTCCTTTTTAATTTCATAGCAAACAATTGACCTTTAGAAGAAACAGTAAAAAAAAGGTAAAGTACCAGATTGGCGTCCATGAAAATAAAGAACCGGAGTCCTGTAAGAAAAGCTGTAAGCGATATGGAAGTCATATTCATGAATCACACAGCTGGGAAACTGAACCTGAAAGGCAAAAATGTAGATATTGTAGCAAACATATTCAGGATAAAATCATAAAAGCATGAGATCGTTTGGTTTGTGATTGAAGAGAGAAATGGGCATGGAATTAAGATGTTTAAATAGTTTTAATAACTCGATATGAATGTAAAACTTCATCTCAAGCATCAATGTATATCAATTAGTAAAACAGCACAACAAAAAAACAGAGTCACAATATGAAAAATATAGAAAAAAATCACAAGAATGGAGAATGAAGCATGGGGCTTCCAATTTAAGGTTGAAGTCTCTGCCCCAAGAACCTTCTGCGGTGTTATAAGTAAAATATAAAAGGAAGATTTACAAAAAAACTACTCAAATCTTATGCATTTATATATCAAACACTTAAACTTTCAATTCTACATACATAACACCTTAGGAAAAGGTGTATTTCAATTTTTAAAAGCTAGAAATTGGAGGTTTTTTTGATGCGATAGGAACGATTTTGGTGGCACAAATGTAAAAAAACAAAGTTTAGGTGTTAGAAATACAAATATATAGGAATCGGGCACTATGTATGTAAATACCGCAATATAAAATAATTGCTGGAAAATAAAAAAGAAATTTGAATGTTTCAGCTACAGTATCATACCACAGTGGCACTATCTTCGGGCTGTTCTGCTTTAAAGAGCTCTTGATGACTGCTCGCAAGATCCTAAAGCCAAATGTTAGTACAGGACAGGTGCAGATCATTTCTATATAGGAACATTTACACACATGCCACTTCATTCCTACATAATTACATATCTAACATTTAAACTTCAATTTTTTACATATGTGTAACGCCCAGTTCAAACGGTTTGTAATTTGGAGCCATAAGTGTCATAGGCTGGAGTTAGAATCTAAGGAAAAGGGTCAGCGCAGAATTTAAATAGAGATGGAAGAAGATCGGAAAAACGAACTGAATGACTGAAGCAAAAATCTGATTTGAGCAAGCGGTAGGAGAAGACCAAAGGAGTACCCGCAAACAAGTTGAGCAGCTCAAACGAGGAAGACAAAGCGAGTTCTGCGTGTAAGGAAGATTGATCCACTCGAAAGAGAGGGGGGATCAAGTAGCTAGTGCAGAGACGAGTGCAGTGGTAACCAACCTTGATTGTGCTTGTGAAGCTGAACAAAGAGATGATCGCAAGCCACGGCTTTTCCACTCATTCGATATCAGGGAAAAAGCGACGTTGTTATCAAGCAGAAAAGAGAAGAGGTGTCCCGCGTGGCCATATGAATATAGATATATATATATATATATATATA